ATATATATATATATATATATATTATATCTTCCAAATCTTTCCTTTCTTTAAAGAAATGTAACTTTTGTTTAATCCGTGGAAACATATAACATGCATTATATTGCTTTTGATAACATACACGTATAAAAAATACGGATCATCTCGTTCGAGATAATCGATAAAAACGAATCGCTAATTCGTAACGAAGCGCAATATTTTAAAATCAAAATTACATACTTGCGTGGCATCCGAATACGGTGTCGCCGAATTTTTATCCACAAGCAATGATCCAAACATAGGAATCCCGGAACTAGAGGGACTATCTTGTTGTTGCGGCACCATTTTGCGGGCCGAGAATTACAACAAATTTCTTCTTATCACTTCACTTTTAATCTGTGACCGCAACGATACACTGCACTCGAAAAAATTTGCAAATTCGATCCGTAAAGAAGAACGAACGATTCGATGTTAAGAATATCTTGAAATCTTTCTTTTCTCATACGACTATGTCTGTATTCGGTATTTCACTTGAGCAGTCTTTTTTTTTTTCTTTTTCTCTCGTCTTCTCTTGTTTTACTTCTATGACAGTATCCGTCGTTATTATTATTGCTTATTTCGATTACCAATATATAATTATCACCACCACCATCACTACAATCACTACGTCACGTTTACTTGGACGAACAAAACAAAGATAATTTTTCGAGGATGGCAGTACGATTGATGATGGAACGTGCGATAAAATAACAATGAGAAGAGACTACACGGTCAAGATGTATCGACGATCGCAAGATAGATGGCAATATGCGAGAAGTTTATTATCACGCAACACTATCTGTCAGAATTATAAGCGCGTAATTTTCGTTATTCGCACGCACGACAATGATACGCGGTGCGATGCGACACGGGGACAATGTGGACGCAGCGTAAAGAAAAACAAAAGAACGATTGTTTTTCAATGTACACGCACTTTACACAAAGCACTACAAAGATAAGTAACAAATATACTTAAAAACTGTCCCCACACGTCCTCGATTGCTCGTTTATGCGTATAATATTCGTGCGTATATAAGATTTTCAATATCCAGTGGCTGCTCGTCGATCACGAGATGACATTATCGACCGCAACGACGTCGTAACGACGCTCGCCCGACGAGCGCTCATTCGCAACTAACTCGCCCTCGCGTCAGTCTTCTACCTCTATACTACTACGCTCAGCTGAGACGCGGGTACCATCTACCCCCACTAACCGTGTAAACACGCTGCCTTTCCAGCCAGTCGCGATGCAGCCGTTCTTTTCTCCCTCTTTAACCCTGAAAGCCTGTGTACGTTGCTCCCTTTTCTCTTTCCTCTTTCTCCGTTTCCCATCTCCATCCCTCCCTTTCCACCTATTTACGTATACTTCTCCACTTGAAAGCTTTAAACTCTTCCACTTAAGTATTCGCGTACATCCGTACATATCGATGCATGTGTCAGTGTATTCGCGCTTGTTTACGTACTCGTACGAGACTCGTAGCTTCCCAAACTCTGGCAAATCAACCTATCGTCGCCTATTTATTTATCAACCTTCTTCTGGATTTTTGAACGATCAATTTTTCATTCCATTTTTCGATCATCATCTCTTATTTTTACTCAGTTTTTTCTTTTCTTTTCTTCCAAATCTCGCGTATCGTTCCGATCATCATTCGTCGATCAACCTGTTTTTCCATGAATTTTATCGCGATTATAATTCGTCTGTATTCAGATGACCGATTAATTTTAATCACGACACGTTTATCGTATCGTCAAACGTGTTGTTTACGTTGAATAAAAAACGATCATGAACAATACACCGAATTGAATCGAGTTGAATCGCGAGAAAAGATAATACGATAAATCGATTGGAATAAATAGGAAATAAGTAGGCATCAACATTGCAATCTCCGCGATGTATCGGCTCGTTTGCTAGGATCATGGCGAAATCATCGTTGACCCCATCCTTTCTCGTCAAGGATAGGAGACGGAGAAAATGAAATGGAATCGGAGAATCGCGGCAACACGACGACTAACATGATTCGTGTGCGCACGCGATCGGTGGGAGCGGCTGTCGCCACTTAACCGGATGCTAGCCACAGCAACGGAATACTAAATACGATTTTCCTCCGTCTACTCGATGCGCATTTAGAAAAATACGAGTAAACGCTATGACGAAATATTGCCTCTAATTGCTAATTATGGCAAAATATTAAGATCGATACGTATGTAGATCAACGAATGATCGAATAAGCGTTCGGTTTTCCTTTTTATTCGTATTTGGATTATACATAGATTATATATAGGGATAGAACATGGATGGCGATTGCGCTCTCGTTCGAGATGTTCCCAGAAACGGAACAGGACAAGAGATTTAAAAGAGAAAAGTAAGTGCTTACAATTAACGTTCGCCTACACGAGCATGAACTGTGTCTTGCGAAACTTACATGCTCTCGCACTCTCCGCATCTACACATCTATCGCGTGGAACACCCGCGCTCTGCATTTCACCCGTCTGAGTCACCGTATCACGCGATAAATTGCGCAATTCTACAGTTCGCTATGCTTCTCGAGGAAGTGAAATTGCGATTAAGGGTATAAACCACATCTATGCGGGGTTTTTTTTTTTTTATACTCTCGACACTCTCCACGTAGTAGTACGTACTAGAGTACACAGCGCTTTCGAACTTTGGTGAGAACCCTAGGAAAAACGATCCATCCTTCAAGGTTTCCAATGACAAAGGTGTCCTATACATCTACGTATACACGTATACGTATACGTATGAATTTATACACATCCGAAATGGTTTCAAAATACCAAAGGTACTACAGTATATCTATACACGTATTCCGTTCCATAATTCCGGCGAAAGCACGACGCGATTCCCAACCACTTTGCTTGGCATTCAACACTTTGCTCGAAGGTGATGGATTTCGCTCGAACGAAACCACCTGTTCTCCATCGTTTCGTTCGATAGTTTCATCGAACATTCGATAGATGGAATGTTATCCATCTTTTCCCTTTGAATCGTGAAATAGAGTCGATTCCTCGTCCTCGTCCGTATCGTAACGTACAGTTATATCCTTGGACCATGATGCGACTCGCTCGACTCGACTCGACTCGCTCTACCTGGAAACGAATATCGGTCCAGCTGTTCAGCTGTCCAGCAGCTGTTCCTGCCTTCTTCACCTGCCCACCTTGTATACACGCGTATCAACGTGTATGCGTCTACCAGTTCGATGTTTAATTCGAAACGTATTCGAGATGCGAAACTTGCGCGTGCCTTCTTTATATCTTATGTAGGTATTGTAGGTTATACGGAATGAACGCGGAAG